GAGACACTTGCGAGGGGACTGTCTATACACCCCGAAACCAGACACTGGGATGATACGCTCAAGGTATATACAACACCAACAAATGCTCCTGCTGCTGCTGCTGCTGCTGCTGTTGCTGGTGCTGTTGCTGTTGCTGCTGCTGCTCTTGCTGCTGCTGCTGCTGCTGCTGCTGCACTGCAAGCGTTGCACACAAACTTTTGCAGCTACGAATCCTGAGCTGCAGCAGCTGCTGCAGTATCTCTTCTCCCTGCAGCAGCAGCAGCAGCAGCAGCAGCAGCAGCAGCAGGGTGTGTGCATGCTGTATGTGGCTGCAGCTGTCTGTCCCCCTCCGGTTCAAGGCAAATTCTTCTTGTGTTTATTTTCCTTTTATGGAGACACAAATACCCCCAGTGCTTTTACCCAAAGAAACAAAAAAATATATTAAGTAAGAAAAGGAGACAGAGAAAAAGGAGACAGAGAAAAAGGAGACAGTTTATTTAGGCTTTTGTTTTATTTATATTTTATATTTTAATATATATTATGTAAGAAAAGGAGACAGAGAAAAAGGAGACAGTTTATTTAGGCTTTTGTTTTATTTGTATTTTATATTTAAAAATAAAAAAAAGGAGACAGAAAAAGGAGACAGTTTATATATTATTTTATTGTATTTATATTTTATATTTTAAAATATATTAAAAAAAGGAGACAGAGAAAAAGGAGACAGAGAAAAAGGAGACAGAGAAAAAGGAGACAGTTTACATATTGTTTTATTTATATTTTATTTTTTAAAATATATTAAAAAAAGGAGACAGAGAAAAAGGAGACAGTTTATATTTTATTTTTTTCTCTGCAGGGAGAGACTGGTGCCCCCAGCAGCGAGCCGAAGACAGCAGTATAGGGTGTGGGGTGTACAGACAAAGACAGCAGCAGCCATAGCTAGAGATATAAAGGTAAGAAAAATAAATAAATAAATAAATAAATAAATAAATAAATAAATAAATAAATAAATAAATAAATAAAATGAGATGAAATAAATTAATTAATTAGTAAAAGGAGACAGATAAATTAATAGCAATATATATATATATATATATATATATATATCAAAAATTGTTGCTGTGCTCTGCTGCTGCTGCTGCTGCTGCTGCTGCTGCTGCTGCTGCTGCCTCTCCTGCTGCTGCTGTGCTCCCGCTGCTGCCTCTCCTGCTGCTGCTACTGCTGCTGCTGCTGCTGCTGCTGCTGCAGCTGTCTGCGTTGTTTGAAGAGTTGGTGCGTCTTGGGGTGTCTCCGCGTCGCTGTGCTTCTTTTCTCGTCGGTGGTTTGGCCGCTGCCCTGCGGGGTGTATCTCCAGCTGACTCGATACGGTGAGAGCTCGGGTGTATAGGCAGCTCGTAGCGCATGCATGCATGCATGCATGCATGCATGCATGCGTGCATGCGATATTTGGGGTGTATAGGCAGCTCATATCGCATGCATGCATGCGATATGAGAGTTGGAGTGTATAGGCAGCTCATATCGCATGCATGCATGCATGCATGCATGCGTGCATGCATGCATTGTATTTACTTCTTTTATTTATTTTTTTTTATTTTTTATTTTTGTTTATACTCCTTGCAGCGCAAAGGACTTGGCCCCGGCTCTGCTTAAAGCAGATAGAGGGGAGCTAACAAACAAAGTAAGGGTTTAGGGTTTAGGGTTTAGGGTTTGGGGTTTAGGGTTTAGGGTTTGGGGGAGGGCTTTCAGGCGCAGCGCGATGCATCCCCTACTTGCTAGGGTTTTAGGGTTTAGGGTTTAGGGTTTAGGGTTTAGGGTTTGGCTGCAGGCGCTGCGCCTGTACGTCGCTGCGCTCGCCCGAGGGGACCCCAATGCGAAGACACTGCTGGCTGACGATGTACAAACCCTAAACCCTAAACCCTAAACCCTAAACCCTAGAAGCTGCTAAACCCTAGAACCTAAAAGCTCCTAAACCCTAAACCCTAAATACTCCTTCTTACTGCATGATGAGAGATACAGCCTGCACAGCCTTAGGCTTGAATCCTAGGGTTTAGGGTTTAGGATTAGGGTTTAGGATTTAGGGTTTAGGGTTTAGGGTTTGGGGTTTAGGGTTTAGGGTTTGGGTGCGCAGGGGTCACAAGAGGAGACGGAGAGAAGGGCTGCAGAGGACTTGCAGCAGCTGATGAAACAAAAACAAAAGTAAACCCTAAACCCTAAACCCTAAACCCTAAACCCTAGACCCTTTGTGTGGAGTACTGGGGGGAGGGAGATGTGCGGTTTCGTTCTTGTGTACGATTCAGGGTTTAGGGTTTAGGGTTTAGGGTTTAGGGTTTAGGGTTTGTTCGCAGGCAGCAGCCGGGGGCGCTGGTTGGCGCTCTGCTGTCGATACACCCCAACCTCTCTCCTTCACGCGCACGGGGGCTCGTGGAGGAGGCGCTGGCTAGCCACAGCTAGCCAGCTAGCTAGCTAGCTAGCCAGCTAGCTAGCTAGCTGGCTAGATAGCCAGCTAGCTAGCTAGCTACGCTGGCGCTGGCTAGGTAGCTGCATGCAGACACACAGCTAGCTACAGCTAGCTGTGTGTCTAGCTAGCTGCAGCTAGCTGCAGCTAGCTAGCTAAATAAATATGCTGGCTGGCTGCGCACGCACAGCTAGCTAGCTACCGTTAACTAGGGAACTGGGGGCCTGTGGCTAGCTGCAGCAAGCAGCACAGCTAGCTGCTGCTGCTGCTGCTGCTGCTGCTGCTGCTGTCAGATCCTGTGGCTAGCTGCAGCAGGCAGCAGCTAGCT